TGCTGGGATTACAGGCCTGGGCCACCAGGCCCCATCTCAATCTTCTCAGCACAGCCCTGGGCCGGGACGGCACAGCAGTTGGGCTCCAACCTTGGCCACTGTGCTCTGCCGAGCAGGTTTCTTTCCTTCCGGTATTCCCTTTCCTTGCAGCGGGTGGGGGTCGGACGGTAGCTAGAGCCCTCTGTGCTGGGAAAGTCCAGTACCACGAAGAGCCAGCACCTCCCCCCTCGCCTCCCCTTAGGTACCAGGAATCGAGCCCAGGGCCTCCCGACTGAGCTGCATCGCAGTCCTTTTGTTTGAGTTGAGATCTCACTAAGTCACTAAGTTGTCCAAGCTGCACTAAAATTTATGGTCCTCTTGTCTTGGCCACCAGACCTCTCTCGAGCCTCCCCACTCTCTGTAGCACTCAGGGGGGGAGGCAGAAGGATGTAGAGTTAGAGTTTGAATCCAGTCTAGGCTATATAGAGAATTCCAGGGCATCCTGGCGTGCATACCTATATATGCTTTATTTTTTTGATACCAGGAATCAAACTGAGGACCTTGTACTTGCCTGGCGGGCGCTGTGCTGCTGAGCTATATCCCTGGTTTCTTTTTGTTGTTGATGATGTTTTGAGACAGGGTCATTTTTAATTTTTTTTTTTTTTTTTTTGTGGAACCGGGGATTTGAACTCAGACTCTTGCGTTTGCCAGGCAAGCGCTTATTCTACTGAGCCATCTCCCAGCTCCTATTTTTTAAAAATTTTAATTTATTTTTAATTTTTGTTTTGGTGGTACTGGGGATCAAACTTGGGACCTTGTGCTTGCCAGGCAGGCACTTAAGCCACTGAGCTATCTCTCTGCCTGAGGTAGGGTCTTGATAGATAGTTCAGGCTGGTCTTAAGCTATGTGTACTCACTGTCTACGGTCTTAAATTCACCTGGCTTTCCTTATTAGTTTTAAGTTGTTGTTGTTATTATTATTATTATTATTATTATTATATTTACGATAGAGCCAGGCATGATGGTGCATGCCTGTAATCCCAGCACTTAGGAGGCTGAGGCAGGAGGATCACCTATCAATTCAAGGGCAGTCTGAGCTATACCATGAAACCCTGCTTGAAACAAAAAAATTGATGAAATACTCGAGATGGGTGTTTGTATGTTGCCCAGGCTGGTCTCCAAGTCCTAGGCTTAAGCCATCCTCCGGCTTCAGCCTCCTGCCTGGCTCTTTGTCCTTTCCTAACTAGTCCCATGATTACCTTCAAGGTCTCACTAGTTTAGTGCCTAAATGTTTTATTTCCGTGGTAACTTGGCACATTCTCCAAAACCACACCCCTTGTAAGCAGTGCTTTTCTTTCTTTCTTTTCTTTTTTCTTTTTTGGTCCTTCCTACCTTCCCTTTTCTTCCTTTCTTTCTTCCTTCCTTTTTTTTTTTTTTTTTTCTTTTTTTGAGACAGTGTCTCACTATGTTCCCAGGCTGGCCTGGAGCTCCTAAGGACCCTCCTGCCTCAGCATCCAGAGTGCTGGGACTGCTGATGCGCACTACCATGCACTGCAAGGTGCACTCAGATTTCTGCCTGAAGCTTTCTTTCCTGTACTGGGCGTGCGCTGGAAGTTACGCCCCAGCAGCCTTGAGAGTGAACCTGAGCATCGGACGCTAGCAGCGAGCGACACTGCTGGCCTCTTTACCTGTTCAGCTTTTTTTTTTTTTTTTAAATTTTATTTTAGGTAAGAGTCTACAGGGAGTTCAGGGTCTCAGTACTAGATCGGACTCCTACTGATCCGCCTGTTTACAGCCTCCCAAGAGCTGGGATTACAGGCCCGCTGAGCTATTTTGGCTATTTGGCTGGCCCTTATCTGTTTGGCTTTTTTTTTTTTTTTTGTGGAACTGGGAATTGAACTCAGGCCTTTGCGCTTGCCAGGCAAGTGCTTATTCTACTGAGCCATCTCCCCGGCCCCTCTGTTTGGCTTTAACAGGAACTTTTTTTTTTTTTCCAGGACAAGGCTGGCTGTGTAGCCTCTGTGGTCTTGAACCCCTGATCCTCCTGCCTTGGCTCCAGGCCCTTGGATCACAGGCAGGTGTGCTGGGCATGGCCTTCACAGAGCTTCTGCTGGGTTCCCTGTCTGATCACCACTGTTACTGAGTGTGTGGAGGCTGAAGCCCAGACCTCCTGCAGGCTAGGCAGGCACGCTGAGCTACATCACCCTCTTTCCATGATTTGGCATTAATGTCACTTCAATTCCGCGGGCACTGGGTGTGGTGGTGCATGTCTGTCATCTCAGCACTTGGGAGGCTGAGGCAGAATGATCACCAGGAGGTTTGAGGCCAGCCTGAGTTACACAGAGAAACCCTGTGTCCCCCCCAAATTCCACAGGTGACAGATAATACAAAAAGTTCCAGTTCTTTCCAGTTTTAGTATATGTGCTACCGAAGTGAGCACTAAAATTCTAGTTTGTGTAGAATTAATATTCTAGTCTTGATCAGGAGATAGTAAAACATGTTTTTTTCCCTCTTTTCCTGGTACTGGGTATGAAACTGGGCATGGAATCTCTGGCACGCTAAATAAGGCCTTCAACCACTGAGTTATATATACAGCGCTTTTTATTTTTCGAGACAGTGTCTGAGTTGCCCAGGCTGGTCTCCAATTTGGGAACCTCCTGTCTCAGCCTCCCAAGTGCTGGTAGACCTGTGTGCTACCAGCCCGGCTGGCATGGACTGAATTATCTAGCGAGGTGTCGTTCGGCCTGGTCCTTAACTTTAGAAGATCAGTGAGTGGTTCGTGATATTATGGGTTTTTCCAAGCAACAGGCATTTGAGTTGGCACCTCTGTGTCCTGTGGCTGGCAGCCACAGTGCAAACTCCAAGGTGGTGATTCACATGCGGTCTTAGGGCTGGCTCACTGGAACAGCTCAAACTGGCGCATTAGCAAACTACCGCCCAATAGTTTTGAAATCTGTTGGGTGCGCTGGTGGCCCACTCCTGTGATCCAGCATTCAGGGAGAGGCTTAGGCAGGAGGGTCTCAAGCTTGAGCCCAGCCTAGGCCACTTGGGAACACCCTTCGAATCTGCAACTCTAATGAGCCTCTCCAGTGGTGTCAGGGTACACAGATTGAGTCATCAACATATTTCAGGTAATATGGCCAGATGGGCCTGGGAAACTTGGAATGTGAAGAACATTCTTAAAAAGCAAGAGTAAATTCTGTGGGGCAGATTAGGGACTTGTGTGTCTTTGTTGCTGTTCCTCTGACGACAAAAATATCTGTTATGTCCTGACTTGTCCCTGACACCCCAGCACTGTATGCAGTGAGGCTGGCCTGCAGCTTCAGAGCTAACAGACTTACTGGAAAACCTGGGCAGTAAGGAAGTGAGGCAGTCTTTAAGGTCAGGCAGCCCAGCCTTTGAAGACCACCCACACGGTTGCTGGGGATACCAGGAAGCCAGCCAGACAACCCCCCCTCCAAAACAACACAAACAAAACTCAAACTGGGCATGGTATTGCATGCCTGTAATCCCAGCACACCTGTAATCCCAGCACTCCTGTAATGCCAGCACTCCAGGGGACTGAAGCAGGAACATCTCTGCATTCCAGGCCAGCCAGGGCCACAAAGTTTGTTCAAGGCCAGCCTGGAATACAAAGGGAGACTGTCTCCAACAAAACACAACAAAAAGAACCAGACCAAACCAGAAAAGGAAAACCACAAAAGCCATGACATGCCGTGCTCCCAAACCCAATTAGGGTGTAGTCTAGTGGCCCAGCACCTGTCTGGCAAGGGCAAGGTCCTGAGTTTGATTCCCAGTATAACCAATTAGGATAAGGAACAGATTCTACCTCATTAAGGGACAAATACATGAATATAATGATGAGGCCCGGGAGATGGCTCAGTGGATTAAGCACTTCACTGGCAAGCGCAAGGGCCTGAGTTCAAGCCCCGGTTCCACCAAAAAAAAAAAAAAAAAAGTTAAAAAAAAAAAAAGAATATAACGATGAGTTAAGTAACCTATACTTTACTTTGTTAGCATAGTAAAAATTACTCCCAGAGGTGGGGATTTAAAATGGTACTAAAAGGGGAGCCTAGGTCTAACTATGAGGCCACTTCTATAGGTGTAAGGACCCTGCCTACCCTTTAGATGCCACAAAAGCGTAAGAATAAAAAGGGCCCAGCACTTGGGAGGCTGAGGCAGGACGATCACTGTGAGCTGAAGGCCAGCATGAACTACACTGCAAACCTTGACCCTATCTCAAAAAAAAAAAGGTTGCTGGGTATGGTGCCCTTGCACTCGGGAGCCTGAGGCTGGAGGGTCACCACGGGTTCAAGGCTAGCTGGGCTACACTGTGAGTTCAAAGCAGTTGAGACTTTGTCTCAAAAAATAAATCAAATGTAAATAAAACCTTGTTTCTGTGCCATTTTCTGAAACAAAAACAGTACTGACAACCAGTCCACAAGAGTGTTCCCTCCAAGTGACCTTTGCCTGGGCCACCAAGTGGGGGCTGTGGTCCCTGCCCAGGTGGCTACACGAGGCCTGCGAGAGAGGTAGCCAGATCCGGGTTTCCGTCGCCAGCACCCAAGATGGCGGGACGTGCGTCACCAGTAGGAGAAGCACATGCTCCGTGCCTCGTCTCAGTCCACTGTGCGCCTCGCTAGGCTTTTGCAAGTCACGGTGGGAACCCTTAAAGGGGGCATTCCGCACTCCGGCGCCTGTCACACCGCCTTCTGTCCCATGCCTCTGGGCCTCATCTACAGGAGCAAAAGAGATTGCACCTGTAACTACCTGGCAAGAACGCCCTGGACACCACGGCCCTCACCGCATCCATTGGTGGGCCCACGCCACGGGGCGGGAGTAGGCACTCATTGGGCAGCGGACATCAACCTTGGTGGATACAGAGGAAGCCCGCTCAGCTATTGGGCGCTCTCTGTTGTCAATCAGGGTGACATCCGGAGACGGCCGAGGCCCGGGCTCAGTGATTGGACAAGCTGCTTGGAGGGCGGGCACGTCGGCCGGGCTTCCGAGTGCGGGGAAGGAGGGGGCGGGGAGGGAAGCGGAGGCTGGGAGCTCTGGGCCGGCCGGCTGTGGCGGCGGCGGCTAGGCCGGGACTTGGGCCGAGGGGCTCTCGTGGCGGCAGCGGCGGACGTCGGGCTGTGCAGCGGGTACCGGGCACGTTCCTTTTCCTGAGGGGTGCGGCGCTGTGGGGCCGAGGCTCACGCGGTGAGGGAGGCGGGTTGCGGCCTAGGGCGGGCGGCGGGCGGCGG